CAGCAATATTTTATACCCACTTTGTTTGGTCGCGGTTTTTTGAAGCTGTGAAGATTAGTGAGCTGTTAAAAAATTCATAACTCCTTATCTGAATTAGTTAATAAAAATATTGGCTCAGTGTTCGATAGAGCCAAGATTTCTCTATATTTCAAATAATTTTCAGTGCTAGCTGGATATCATGAATATTTATTTTGTTCAATTTTCAGAGGTTTTCCAGCCTATATATATGGGCCTGTCCATCTTGGAATCGAAGGCTTGAAAACTCCTGATTTGGATTAGCTCTTGATCATTTTTCCGGCACTAGCGCAAGGTTTCTTCAAAATGGTCAATTTCAATTTATTGCAAGATTGGGTCGAGAAATATTTTTTGCTCCCATTTATTCTGACAGGTTTTCTTCACTGTATGCGGATTTGTCCATCTTGGCTTTGAAAAATGCATAATTTCTGCTCTAGTTTAGGTATTCAACTACCATTCTCAGAATTAAAGAAGCACATTATTCTCTATATTGTACAAAAGATTGAGAGCAAGATTAGTTTTAAAAATATTTTTTTCCTCAAGTTTATTTGGAGTGGTTTTATTCACATTGCGTAGAGTGGTGGACATTGATCAGAATTTTTTTTCCGATGTATTTAGTCAGGTGTTCTTTAACGCTGTGTAGGTTTGTTTGGCCATCTTGGCTTGGAAAACGATCTGGTTTTTCGATCAGATCAAAGGTTCCTAAAATCGATCCAAGAAGGTTTTGCCTATCTCCTGACGCAATTTGAGGCATGGTAATTGATCAAAATATTTATTTTTTTAGTGGGATGTTCTTCAAAGTTGCGTAAGTTTGTCAATGTTGTAATTGAAAGCTTCCACCCCACTTTGGCGTTCGATAGAGCAATATTTTTCTATCTATTTGAGAAGCTTCAGCTTGCGATTGAGATTAGCAATATTTTCTTCAGAATTTATTCCATTCGGGTTTTCTGCAGGTTATCTGCTTTTTCACCCTCCTTTTCCAAACTTCATAACTCCCGATCTGATTCCGCTATCAAACTGCCTTTTGCTGCATTACATAGAGCATGACTTCGTCTATGTGTCAGAAAAAGCTGGGAGCAGGAGCAACTGCAGAAATTAATTTCTAATTTCAAAATTTTTGCATCCACATGCAATTTTCTGGTTTCTTGATTCATCGCACTTTGATGGTCGAAATTTTAAAGCTCCCGATCTGATTCAGAAAGCAATTGGCTCCCATTGTCACTTTTCATCAGTAGTCTTCTTCGTTCTTCCATTGATTTATTTGTGCTTTCAGAATCAGAAAAGTTGCAAATTGGCGACGCAGCTGAAGCAAAGAGAAACTTGGTGTCTTCACTGCTTCGAACAAAGACAGTTCTATATGGATAATTTTTGGGTAAATGCAGGTCTTTGGGGTCACGCAGAATTCGAAACGTTCATGAAGACAATGAAGGTGAAGGTGTTGTTTTCTCGAACAGCTAATTGGCTATTAGGATGTTCTACAAACTAATTGGGCAGTTAATTAGGCAGTTGATGAAGCCATTCACCGGAAAAGAGCGATTTTCGGAGAAAAACAGCCAAAATTTTGTCGCGCCCAAGACCAGAAACGATTTGGTGGGCAAAAAGTGGCTGGTACACACAATAGCAGAATCGGTACCATCCGTAAAATACAATTATCGGCAAATGAAAAAGCAACAGAAATCGACTTTCTTTTCACGGTCAAGTGGAACGAGTCGACCATACATGCGTGTTTATTACAAACTTGTACAACCACTATCATTCCGATAATAATGTTAGAATACCAATTAAGGTTCTTGTTAGGAAATTATGAGATGTAATTACCTTTTATATTTGAAAATTAGTCTCTCAGCTGAATGGTCATTAATTTACGATCTTTTCGACTCGCTGTTTCACTAAATGGGTTTGAGGCCAGCACAGTGGCTTCGCCTTGGAACAAGAGGCTTTCTTCACGAATCCTCCGGTCTAATTGGCCGTTCATGGTCGCGACTTTTCCTCTGAAGATGCCACTAACGCTGGCAAGTGAAACGTCCTCGAGGAATCCAATTGAGCCATTGTTTAAGAGACATTTTTTGAATTGAACTTGCAATTATTTGTTGCATGTGTTTGCCACATAACGACCGCCTATTACGACTGGAAACGGTAATAATGGTATTGTTTTAACTCGGAAGAGTGTAACAACGGCTTACATAGACCGTCTCGTTAATCCACTCGGGCAACCTTAACGTAACTTTTCATAATAAAATGGCCACTAGTCATTGTTTTCCCGAAAACTGTAACTGCCGAAACGACTCGAAACTGCATAATTAATCCGTTATTAATTGTTAATTATCTTCAGGAAAATGGGACACACGTACGCACTTGGACGACAGTGTCGAAATCGGTGTTTTCTTGCGGTAAAATTCCGCGCTCAGTTCCCAGAAACAGCTACGGCCAGGAAAACCGGAAACGGTCTTCCGAAGGTGCAATCTGATAAACACATAATTTACAATAATACGCTCTAGAAGTTAAGTAATTCGGGTGCTAATTGGGACGAAAGATTCCATGTGAGCTCAAATGCAGGCTAATTAACAAAGAAAGCACACATATGTGCAATTACATGAATTCGTGATCAAAACCATTGAGTTAAATTGGTAGTTTGCACATAACTGGGAAAGTTGCCGTCGGCCAAAGCCGAAAAGTGCCAAAATTCACAACACCCGGTAAAGGAACAAGTGAAAACTGATCGAAATTTGGCCCCATAATCACAAGTGCAATATATCGCCGCTCTTAAATGAAAGTAATTTCACCGGAATTTCGGACCTGTCAAACGATAATTAACTGTATCTTTACGATCGGCTTTTTTTTCTCTCATCCGGACAAAGAAGACGCATTTCGACTGTCAACTTTCTTTTCACATGGCTTACATTGGCGACATCCAGATTGGAAGCAACTGCCCAACGCCCTTAACATATTCTGGCAATCGCGCTGGGAAACATTGAAGACCTTCCGGGCAAAGCCAAAGGAATGGCCTTCAAAAGGGTGGTTTAGGTGTGGAAATCGCATGAACTTCGGCAAAAATACACGCAAAAGACCAAACCTTTGTTTGTGTGTTTCAGCACCAGTGGCCACGGAGCGCCTAAAAAATCCCGGAATGCTTGAAATTGCGCAACATTTTTCGGAAATATTTCCTGAAGTTCTGCTCACTTTTTGTGTTAGTTCCAGTTGAATTCTGCTAATGGTTTGACTGTTGCGATTTTTTTTCGAATGGGATACACCGATCGACAATGGCGTCTTTTTTTAGTTTGCAACTTAAACGTTTTGGAGCGTCTGAAAAATCGCTGTATGGCTTGAATTGAGCGAAAATGTCCCGAAATATTGCTCGAAGTTCTGATCACTTTCCGTATCAGTTTCAGTTGAATTTTGCTAACGGTTTGGGTATTGCGATTTTTTTTCGAATGGGATACACCGATTGATAATGGCGTCTTTATGAGTTTACAACTTACAAGTTCTTGAGCGTGTGAAAAATTATTCTATTGTTTGAATTCAGCGACAATTTTCCGAAATATTTCCCGAGCATCTGGTCACTTTCCGTGAGAGACTCACTTGAATTCTTCCTATAGTTTGGAAGTTACGATTTTTTTTCTATTGGATTACACTAATCGATAACGGTTTTTTTTTTAGTTTGTAACTGCCAACTTTTGGAGCGTCCGAAAAGCATGATGTGCTATAAATTAAGCAAAAATTTGCTAAAACATTTCCTGTAGTTCTGGTCTTTTTCCGTATAAGTTTCCGATAAATTCTCCTAATGGTTTGGGGGTTAGGACTTGCCAACTTGCAAGTTTCAAAGCTGCTGAAAAATAATCGTAGACTTTGAATCAAGCAAAAACTTGCGCAAATATTTCTTGAAGTTCTAAAATGGCCAGAACAAAGCTTAAAGCTTCCTTGACTAGTGGCTAGAAGACAGTTTTGAGATCAGAACTTTTTTCGCATCAAACCGCAGCAGTGGTCGTTTTGTACTAACACCTTGCAGACTTCAAATTGGCATGTTTAACAAAATTATGAGGGGAGGACAGTGCAATTTGGACAAAGGTAGCAAAATGCGTGGTGTACTTTGTGAGGGATCCGCAACTCGCTGTTCCTGGTTGATTGGGGTTAGGAATTTTTTTCGGATCTTGCGCGGGGGTGCAAAGTTTGGCTTACCAGGCTTTAAAAATTATCACATAAGTTAATTGTTTTCATTCAAATGCCCTTATTATTATTTAATTTGGGTCTTGAAAATCCTCACGAGGAAAGCGTGCACTGGAATTCAATTCAATTGAGGCAAAATATCGCTCGATACCCTGTTAATATTTTTTAACTCACTCCTTCGAGGAAACTCGGAAGCACATTTTTTTTTCGAGTGATGCGCAGCGGGTTAATGGAGTTAGAAGTTATGAATTTTTCCCCGCGGGTAAACAGCAGAAAAAAATGCTCAATAATCGAAGCAAGCAAATAATCTGGTACCCATTTCTGGGAAGCTCTTCTGATGGCTTTTTGAGTTATTTACAAGTCCCGCCACTAACTCGTCTGGGAGTTAGGAATTTTTCAAGTGGTTGAAAGCCGGTTTTTCTGGCGCAAGGTTCAGAAGTTGTAAAAAATCAGCTGATTAACCGATTTGAGTGAAATTTCTAGTAAATCTCCGAAGATTTTTCAAGTAACTCCCAGATAAATTTCAAAAGTGCAATTTGTTTAAATAAGAAATTATGCTGGACTTTTTAAATTTTTCCAGTCTAAACTTTGTAAATCCCCAAAAATCCGCCCGTTGGTTGATTTGAGTGAAACTTGAGCAAAATACACTCTATCAGAATCGCCAATATAATCTTGGCTTATTTCCCCAACACAAGGTGCTATTTAAATCGGTTAGTTTAGTCATTAACAGCGAAATGAAAAGCGCAAAGTCATGGAAAAATGAGAGAAAAAACCCAATTGCACTTCTTATCGCGTTAAGCGTTCGAAGGCTGGCAACTTACCCATTAATGATCGACCTAGTTTCGAATTCCCATACGATATCTGGGTTCCATTTGGTTCTGGTGATGAACGAAAGTGAATTTACATAATTGGATGTCGAGTGTTCACAATAAGCTGCTCATTTCGCCGGCCTTTGTGCTCGAAACCTGAGGAAGAGACAAGAGTTAATCGATTTTGGGTTGGGCGGATACATGCTGAAGACACTAACTAACACCTTGAAGATGAAGTGCGTTCACTTTGGAGCGCCTAAAGGGAGAAAAGTGCTTACCTCAGATGGGAATTGTGTTTGCAGTTGCAACCCCACTAGCTTTTTTCTGTTTTGAAGAATATGTCTTCACAATCGCCTTCAAACTTAGTCACTGGGGATGTGAACTCGGAGTGGCGCGTGCCCCTCAATCACGCCGACACCGACGAGTCCGCACGTCGCGCAACAATCGCTGAAGAAAGAAGAACGAGATGACGGGCGCAACGATCGGCGGCTTCCGACTGAAGACTCAGCTCGCTTTGGCACACTTCGGCCCCCAAGTGGGTCACTCTCTCCCAGACACCCCCAGCTAGCTCTTCGGTGCGATATCACACCTTGTTGGGTCTCATCGGAACTTCTGCCCCGGAGGAATTAATGCAATTATCGGCTTTACTCACTATCGCGCCTGCATTTGGCACCTGATGCGCCAGTTTCGCTTTTACTGCTTCTGCCGCTCACTGATCGCAGTCTTTTAATCCTTTTAGGGATCTTTTTAGAGATTTATTGAAACTCTCGTAGGTATAAATTTTAGCAAAAGTTTGCGGCTTCTCGCCCCGAATTCGAGGCTTTTCTAAGCGCCTTTTGAAAATCGGCGAAAAAATCACCGGATTCCATGCAAAACACACTTGAGGATTTCACAGAAAAGTTTGATTCTGCGGTTGTTCGTAAAATCTTCGAAATTCAAATGGCTTAATTTAATTTTGGAAATCGACCGAAAAGTCGTTCAGTTCTGCACAATAAACTGGCAAATCGCCTAAGAATTTTGGGTATAAGTTCTGTCTTCAAAGATTTATAAAAAATTTCCGAAAAAAGTTGAAGTTCACCTTTTGGAAAATTTTCTGTTTTTGGTGGTGTTTGAATTTTGGAAGGAAATCACGCAAAAAACATGAAAAGCAATTCAGGATTTCACAGGAAAGTTTAACTCCCTAATATTTTGGAAATTTTTCGAACTTCAAATGTATGTGGTTTCCTGGAAAAAGTTGTCAGTTTCTTTGGGTAGACTTTGGGGACCTTTGAGATGCTTTTTCAATTTTAGAATTCGAAGAAAAAATTGCCGAATTCTACACAAAAACTGGCAAAACGCTTCCGAAGTTTGTGTCTAAGTTTCAAATTCGGGCATATATTGAAATTTTTTAAAGCGAGGAGGAGTTTTGCCTAAGTTGTCGGCTTTTTGTCACAAATTTTTAAAATTTTCACGTGCTTTTTGAATTTTGAAAATTAACCTAAAAGTAACCAAGTTCTACTCAAAAGCAGGAAAAACGGGTTTGGGATTTCAGGGTAAAGTTTTATTCTCCGATTTCATAAACATTTTTTTTATCAAATCCGTTTTTGCAGAAATTGATTTTAAGGTACCTTCAGAAATCGACTGAAAAACCGGTAGGTTCTACGCAACACACTGGCAAAACGCCTCAGAATTTGGTGGCTAAGTTCCATCTTCAGAGATTTATTGAGATTTTCGAAACTCAATTAGATTTTATAGTAAACGTTTTCAGTTTTTTACTGCGCATTACAGACTCTTTCAAGGTCGTTTTAAATGTTAGAAATCCACTGAAAACTTCCTAAGTTCTAAGCAAAATTTTCGCAAAATTCCTCAGAATTTTGTTTCCAAGTTTTATTTTTAGAGATTTATGGAAATTTTTGACTCAGGTATATTTTTTGCATACGTTGCTGGTTTTCCTACAGAAATTGCAGGCTTTTCGTGCGGTTTTTGAATTTTGGAAATGGAGGAAAAAATCGTCCATTTTGAGGCAAAAACAGGAAACACGTTTCAGGATTTTCTAAGAGTTTGGTTTTCCGATAAAAGGGAAAATTTTTTAAATTTAACTATCGCTTTTAGTAGAAGTTGTCGTTTTTTCAAATTAACTTAGCGGATCTCAGGGGGCTTTTTGAGGAAAATCGCCAGGTTTCATTCTTTAATATGTGCCAAAATAAAGTGCATTTGTGATTGAAAACTTGATGGCTGGAAGGTTATCCGAAATAGACTGAGAATTTGTGCAAAAACTTACAGTTTAATGCGAAAAGTTTTATTATGAAACAATTTACACGAATATATCAAAAATTTTTTACATTTCTAGCTTTTGGAAATTCTCTATTCCTGAGGCTTTCGCAAAAGTTGTCGGTTTCGTTATTCCAACTTAGCGGCTCCCTCAGGAGCTTTTTGAGGAAAAGCACCGAGTTTTATTCTGAAAAATATGCTAAAGTAAAGAAAATTTGTTTAAAAGTATTTTTGAAAATTTTTCCAAAAATTTTCCGTTATTAACAAGGAAAGTATCATTATGAAAAAAAAATTCGAAATTTTTCACATTTCGGGTTTTGGCAAAATCTCTATTTCTGAGCTGCGCTAATGGCAACTGAAAGCTAAGCTTGAAACTGTAACTTTTACAAATTGTTAAAGAGAGTTTATGTGATTTTACGAGAAATTTTTCCGCATTTTCGGGCAGTTTTGGCCTGAGTTGAAAATTTGTTCCAATAAAAACATTAAAAAATGAAGCATTTCAAGTTAATCCAGTGTTGTGCGAGGTCCATAGAGGAAAATCCGCATCCTCTTCGCATGTAGCGGGGCCAAAACCGATTCGTAAACAACGATATGACCATAATTTTCCCCCGTTTCTATCGGATTAATTAAGTAGCGAACGGAAATCGGATTTCGGAGCGTAAATTCCACTCATGCATATTTGCAGAGATGTTGGAATTCATAAACGTGCTAACACACATTTCGCGATGGCTTAATCTACAATCCTCCCCTGTAGAGCCTGCTTTATCCCCAACTGATCTTCGATCTTCAGTTTAGCCAGCTGTAGTTCCTCGAACTGCAATTGTTTTAGCAACCAGCCTCAACCAGCAAAGCTCCATCCTCCACTCAAATAGAGCAAATAGAAGATTCCCAAAGTAAAAACACACACACGCCTAGTTGAGGTCGAGAAAAGAACTAGATGAGCAAGCGGTATTTTAATGAAAAATGTCGTTTTTTTCGGTGCAATCGACCACTCGATTCCCATTAAGGTCCGGCCCAATCTTGTTTTTGCCCAGAGGAGGCATCAATTTTTCAATTATCGTTGTCGATTCACGCCGGAAGACGGTCGCAGTTAATTGAAAGCGATGATTGATGGAAGTGGAGCGCTACAAATCTCTTAATCTGTGATGCCGGCTGGCCAGCAGCTCGCCAACAAACGCCCCCAAGCTGCCAGTGAAGCCTAGAAGAAGAATGTAGAAGACGTTGTAAAGCTTGCCGAGCCCGAGCTGGTGCTGCTGATCTGGATCTTCTGGCTTTTCGCGATTCCAGCTCTGGCAGGAAATCTTCGAGAGACAGAGCTCCTCCATGCGGGATAATGCCAGTTCGAAGCTGTCTTTGAAGGGGGAGTTTGCCTTCGAGTGTCTGGCAGAACTGATCACTCCGATGGGTTCTTTTAGCGTGTAAAACCGGGCCAGGGCTGCCGGTCTGGCGTACCTGAGCTTGTCGAAGGAAATCTGCCAAATAACCACTGCTTCATCCGGGCTTGGCTCCTCCGAGCCTATCAGCATCTGGTATGCTTCGGAGATGTAGACGGTCCTCAGGTGCTTCTGCAGATGGAGCGGCAGATAATTGTCCATCCGTATGGGGACAATGATCGTTATATTGCGCTCAAGTAAACCTTGAACTGTGTCAATATTATGGACCTTCGATGAAGCAGTTAGCGCTGAGATGATGTAGATCTGGAAGAGGTTGAGGAAGAAGAAGGACAGGATGGCTCTGGAGAGCCCCAGTAGCTTGTAGGAGTGCTCAAAGCCTCTGAAGGCCCTGCACTGGGCAGCTTTGGACAGCGCGAAGAAAACGGCAGCGAAGGCCAGCCAGGAGTAGTAGTCGAAGACCAGCAGGGCAAAAGTAGAGGCCCTGCTGCTTTGTTTGGGTATCAAAGTGACCAAAGGTCCTCCATAGGAAACGCCCACGCAGTTTTCCAGTATGGCCCAGTCTACTATGGCCGGATTCAGGTCGATATCGGCTTCGCCCCGCAGGATTTTATCCAGCTGGGCGTAAGGGTTGTAGCTGTCCTGAAGGAGGATTTGGTAGCTGGCGTTTAGCATCCTGCTAACATACTTCAGGAATATTATGTGGTCGTTTAGCTTACTGTCGGTGCTCTCCATCCAGTTAACCGTGTAAATGGCCCTCAGCTGGAAGCCTTGCAGATTCGTGATCTTCCCGGTGACATTGGTGCTGAACGCTTTGGTGAAAGGATTGAAGGAAATCCACCTCACCTGCTGGTCTTCGCCCAGATAAACCAGGAGATAGTTGAGAATCTTGTGCTTGTTCCAGATGTCTTCTGCCAAAGTGCGTACTTTGTGCTGCTGCGGGCGCAGCAGCACAAAGTAGAAGGTGGAGACGCTGGTCCAGGCTTGAGTGCAATTGTGGAAAGCATCCAGCTTGGAAAAACCCTCCTCAACAAAGAACACCAAGTACCTCAATCGCACCTCATTGTATTTGCACATTCCTTTATCATCCAGCTGGAAGAGCACGAAAATGCGTTGCATACTGTCAACCTGCAGCCAATGGGTTGCTTGGTCCTGTTCCAGGAGGGATTTTGAGTAGACCACTCCCACAATGGCTTTGTTGTTAAAGAGCTGAGTGAGCCCCGAGGTGAGCTGGCTGTGGAGTGGATTCGTCTGCAAACTCTTCAGCTTTCCATCAACATGGACAAAGCTCAAAATCCAGACAATCGTAACGAAATGCATGCTGGAGCCAGACTAAATGGCCGATGGATAAATCCATTAGGTAATGGAGAGGCGGCACCGCAGCCCCATGGAAGCGTGACAGCCCAAATAAGCATGTTCCTCCCCTATTATTTCCCCATTTCTAAATGCTTTCGATTATTATTTCAAATTCACTTAGACTAAACGTCCCGATCGGTTAATTGCAGAAATTTACTGCCTGAAGCGCTAGTGGTTCTTCTTGGCGACCAATTGGCTTACGGTTCTTCTCTCGCTATTTGTATGCAAAGCCCTGCAGCTGCCCAAACTCATTAATAATCATGAATTTTTTCGGCAATCGCCCTGCTATTTTTGGGCCTAAATTTGAAAACAATGGGCTGAATGGAAAAAATGCCATCATGAAGGCGCGGCACAATAACCACCAAATGTCACATCAAAGAGGAGGACTGGGTGGATTAATCGTGCATGCTGAGATTTGTTTTAGGGGATTTTTGCTGCGCCAACTGCGATGGCGTGGGCAGGCGAAGACTTTTGCTTCTTGGAGTCGATTGTTCGTGCGGACACTGGCAGTGGTTTAAGCCTGCAATTGGATGGAAAAACTTCTTCTTGCAGTTCATAGAAGACACTTGACTCTAAAGACTCTGAAATTTCCATGAAAATCGTACGATATTGAGATTTTAAGTAACTTCGAAAATATTATCTTCAAATGAACGGTTTTGCTCAATTGCGCTCTCCCCTTTAAACATTTCTAACTTCCAAGCCAGGGCTGGTAGCAACTTGATGTTTTCACAGTGCAAAGCAAATATTTACCTCCAAGGATATTGCAATTTCCATCAAAATATTCCAATATTCTGATTTTCACTAACTTTGCAAATTTTGCACTACAGTGCAAATTTTACATAAAATGCAACTGCACTTTCTTCTTCAAAAATTTCTATCTCCCCAACAAGAACAAGTAGAAACTTGAGGTTTGCGCCATTCGTAGAAGATATGTGAATCTAAAGATGCGGAAATGTTCATTAAAATTGTTCTCATGCTAATTTTTTACAACTTTGTAAATATTGGTATCAAAATGGACGGCTTTACCCAGCTGCGCTCTCTCCTTTAAAAATTCGTAACGTGCAAATCAGAGAGCAAGCAACAGCTTGAATTTTTCGCAGTTCGGAGAGCACACAAATATAAAGACGCTGAAATGCTCATCAAAATAATCCAACATCCTGATTTGTTCTAACTTTGTAAATATTCGTATCAAAGTGGACGGTTTTACCCAACTGCGCTCTCTCCTTTAAAAATTCCTAACTGGCAAACGAGCCCTAATAACAATTTGACTTTTTCGTAGTTAATAGAGGACACTTCCACCTAAATATGCGGAAATGTTCCTCAAAATCTTCCAATATTATGATTTGTACTAAATGTGCAAATATTGGTCTCACATTGGACGCTTTTTCCCAACTGCTCTCTCCTCTTTAAAAATTCGTACTGTGCAAGCAACAACTTGAATTTTTCGCAGTGTTGAATTTAAAGCAACTAGTTATTTGAAACGTTCACAGACTATTGAAGAGATGAACCAAAATTATGGAAATTTTTGAGAACTTACCCCTGTCGGTTATTTTTGCCAATTTGATGAGACAAAAATGAGTTTGTCGACTGCACGCCACCCTCTGTTTCAAAACTTCATAACATCCATCCTAAAGCAGTAAGCCGCCGGAAGCCCCTTAAACCCTCAACGCCCTAAAAATTTCGCTCAACTTACTCCCATATCTGATTTTCGCCGACCTAGCAAATTTGGCTTAAAAATGAGCGTATCTACACAACTACACCATCTGTTTAAAAAAATCATAACTTAAAATATAAAGCCAGTAGCCACTTGAAACTTTCACAGTCTATAGACGATAGTTCAGTCTCAAAAAGCGAAAAATTGGGCTCAAATCTCCTGATGTTCTAATTTTTGCCGACTTGGAGTTGGCCTAAAAATGAGCGTGTCCCATACCACTAAGCCATAGGGTTGAAAAATTCATAACTTTCGATCTAAAGCAACTAGCTAATTGAAACTTTTACAGTCGATTGACGATTATTGAGTCTCAAAATTGTAAAAGTTTACTTAAATCGCCTGATCCGTTATTTTTTACGACTTGGTAAAAATTGACCTCAAAATGAACCGCGTCCAAACCACTGCACCCTCTGCTTGAAAAAATGATAAATTTCAGCCTGTCGGAATTAACATTGAAACTGTCGTAGTCTTCTCATAAATTTCTATTTATTGGCCAAAGAAAACTTTGGACTTTGTAATAAAATAATGTTTTTTTCAGCCCAAAACCTATCGAAAGTTTATCGAAAAGACCAGTTTGGAATGCTTTTCATGTGGTTTCAAGCCCAGGTCCGTCCCTGTTAATATAAGACTTAGACTAGTTGGACGCTAATTGCAAGAGATCGCTTTCAATAAAACCACAAGCAAAGTTGAGCAAATATGACGATTAGCATCTGTAATTTGCTAAAAGTAGGCAATCTGACACGCAAGTGGAGCAACGAAATTATGAGAAAAAATGATGGCAAATGAAAGATGCACGAGTGGACGCGTCTGAGCTCCCAAACAACCTCTTAATGGGTAAAAGCCGGACAATGGACGCACATTAACATTTTTCTTATAAGGTACCGAGGCGATAAATCACTCGGCGTGGAATTCAATACGAAGTTGAGGTTTCTGATTTTCTTTTATCTTATGGCCGATGGTTTCGTTTCATATGTTCGGCATTGTTGGATATTCGTCAGTTTCGAGGCGTCAGATGGTCCAGTCCAGTCCTGCCCGCTCGGCCCAAATGACTCAATTATTTCTCGACCACGAATTCATTTACAATTCCGGCCTAATTGGCTAAATGGTTGGCTTTTTAATCCTCCATTGTTTTCTCTCGTTTGGCAGCGATGCGCTAATGCACGGTTTCTCCAGTTTAGTCATTCATCTGCTTGGAAAAGTATGTGGGTAAAACTATGATTAATTCATTGGGTTTGATATGTTGGCTTTCTTTTTACGCTGCCATTTTATTGGGCTTTAAATTCAGTTTAATTATTCAAGTTACAAGGTGATAGTGTATTGATAGGGGGTTTTTAGGGATGTTTTCGCCAGAACTTTTTCGCAAAGCAAAGCTTGGGATTGATTTAAGGGTTTGTTTGCAAAGTCTTTGGTCATGTGCGTTTTTTTTTTGTATCTGCATCGTTTTTCGGACAAATGGAAAATGGCCGCATTTAGTGCCAAAGAACAGTAACAACGCTGGTTGGTTGGTCCTAGGACTTAGTCAATAAACATGTCAACTAGTTGAGCATGTTTTTCCTCAGAAATGTTCTGCTGGGCGCCGTTGGCCCAATCCGAAATACGAGCTTGATTTTGGGGCTTATTTGGAAACTTTTTTGTCTGCAGTGCTTTTTTCATATTATCTACCGTTATTGAAGAAAAAAATGAAAAGCTTGTTTGTAAAACAAGCCTGCCAAATTTCCAACTGTGTTTAAATTTCTTTCTACCTAACGAAAGCACAGGATCAAAAAGCCTTTAAACCAAAAAGTTTCTAGGAAAACTGGAAAATTTGCGGTCCTTTTCAGAATCTACCAGGAGAACTCACAAAAAAGTTTGGACGAAAAATTCAAAAGTGGCTTTATGGAAATCATCATCCTGTGGAATCATCTAATTTTTGGGCCCAGCCATATGGGATGTTTTGCATAGAGATTTTCATCTTCCATAATTTTTCCAAATTTCTTACCGTTATAGATAGAGCGAAAAAATAAAAGCTATTTTGCATAATCAAACGTGCCAAATTTACAATTCTGTTTTATTTTTTTGCTCGCACGCAAAAGCCCATACGAGAAAACTGCTGGAGACCTAAAAGGTTCTAGAAAGGTCGGGAATTTTACGTGAAATTTGGAATATACCAGGAGCACTCACAAAAAAAGTTACGATGCAAAATTCAAAAGTGGTCCCAGGAAAAGTACCACCCTGCAGATTCACATCACTTTTCGGAACAGTTGTTGAAATGCAAAATCTGCAAAACTCATGGAGATTGAGGGAAAAAGACTTTTTTCAATCTCCATTTTTATTGAGGGCAAATTGTTCTTCAGAACTTTTCTCTTTGGCGCCGCTGGCCAAATCCAAAATACACACTTGATTTATTAACTTATTTGGAAACTTTATTGTCTCCGTTATTTTTCTCATATTATCTACTTTATTGGGCAAAAAAATTAAAAGCCTTTTTTGTGAAACAAACCTGCCAGATTTCCAACTGTGTTTTACTTTTTTGCTCCCAAACGAGGGCACATACGAGAAAACTGCTGGATATCAAAAAATTTCTGGGAAACGTGGTAAATTTGCCATCAGCGGCAGAATCTACCAGGAGCGCTCATGAAAAACTTTTGATGCAAAATTCAGAAGCAGCCTAATAAACGCACCACCCTGAAGATTCACATCACTTTTGCACTTTTGCAATAATATGCAAAGGTTCGAAAATATCTTTAAAAGTCGCGGAGATAGAAGAAAAAGAACGTGGACTCGAATACTTTTTCGTAATGATGCTGGAAATGCGTCTAGAGGATCAAATTCTGTATCTGCTGATTGACTTGCCGAAAACCTGCATCGGTTCAAAGCAAGAATTTTCTCCATCTTTCAACATTTTTATCAAAAAAATGTTTCTTAAAACAAAAACAAACTCAAAAATTCCTGATAATTTTGCAAACTTCGTCATGGCTTCACTTTCTGCTGCTCGCAATTTCTTCTTCAATCTCTTCCATTACTCACTTCCGTTGGTTCTCATTAAGGCTTTGAATCACCCCTGGACCGTTTCCCTGCGTGATTAAGTGCAAGATTTGAAGAACGGAAGAATCTCACTTGAGTGAGTCATGGTTAGTCGCTGAGTGGGTCACACATCTTCATTGTTGAAAATTTTGTCGCCAAATTACGCCAAAAGCCATCACACATGTGGTAACTTCGCACATAAGACACGTAACAATGCGCTTTCACTTTCCGCGACATTGTGCTCGATTCGAATAATCGGCGCAAATCTGCATGGAAGCCATGCAAAATCATGGTCCTCCAAACCTGCAGTCGGTAAAAACCTGGAAATTTTGGAAAATTACTTTTTGATCAACAAGAAAACCCCAGCTGGCGACGAATTGACAACATACGCGCAAAACATTTCCTGGTTAAATTTAGAACCGACATTTCGGTCCAGGATTATTCGAAAATAAACACTCGCCAGTTGGAAACGAGGGTCCGAAAGCCATGTCAACAGCTTCGAAAGCTGCAAAGAATGGTTCGCTTTCTCATCGGCTTGAGCGCTGTTCTAGCTACGCTTTCGCTGACAAACTGCTTCAATTTAGGCAAGTGATTTGCGCACAGTTTTGCTGCTGAAACTCATTGGGAAAAACTTGCAGCTGGGTTTTTCGAAGAAACCGACAATGAGCTCAATCAGCACGCTTTTAAGCTGGCGATCGACTGGAGCAACGAACGACGCAGTCCAGACAACCAGCTCATCGCGGTGGGAAAAGAACTCGCCATCGATGAACCGTATTCCGCCATCACCATCACCTGCGATCTGCTGAAGGACGGAGTGTTGACGATTTTTGGACCAAAGTCCATCAGCAACATCAACGCTGTCCAGTCGGTTTGCGATGAAAAAGAACTGCCCCATATTCTGACCAGATGGATGTACTATCCACTCAGACCTGGTAAGGTTTAGCCAATTTTATTTCCTCAGCTTGGGCAGTCTCTAAGAACCTTCACGCTGCAGGCACTGCAGTGAACTTTTACCCATCAGCGCCTCTGCTCACTGAAGCATACTGGGCAATAATCCAGGCCTGGAAGTGGCAAACCTTCACTGTCTTATACGAGGACGATGAAAGTTTGCTGCGCGTCTCCGAGCTGATCCTGCAGGCTAAACAGGAGGGAATTATTGTTACTGTGGAGCAGCTGGATCGTGATGGAACCGGAAACTATCGGTACTCCTGCCGACTAAGTCCAGCAATGTTCACACAAGAGTCTTCCTTAGGGACGCGTTGAAGAGGGTCTGGAGGACCAAGCAGCGCTTTATAGTCATCGACTGCCACATTGATAATCTCGTTGAGGTTTTAGTTCAATGCCAGCAGGTCGGGATGATGACGAGCGACTACAGCTACTTCCTCACCAATCTGGACGCCCATACCAGGGACTTATCACCCTTCCAGTGGAGCCAAACTAATATAACTGGGGTAAAGTGAACGCACAAAAATCGGTTTCCAAACTGTGTGTGTATGTGTGTGTTATCTCAATGCCTATCTTGAAAAACCTTTGTTGTAGATTCGCCTAGTGAATCCCGAGTCCTCATCGGTCCAAAGCATGAGTCAAAAGCTGTTTTCCGAGGTGGATCCAATCGATGAGCTCGTCCAGATCGCTTCCAAGCTGGAAACAGAAACGGCCCTAATTTACGGTGCTTTGTTCTCACGGCCCCAAAAGACCTCACAGTGTAAAACCCGCTTTTCCAGATGCTGTTAATATGTTCTCAGAAATCCTCAACAAAATGACCATCTTGGAGCCGCCAGACACTCTGGATTGCCAACAAGCCACCAATGGTTGGCCGCTTGGATACACTCTAGTCAACCTGTTGAAGACTGTAAGTTAGTCTTAGCTTGCCCTAAGTGCTTTCGACCTACTAAAGCTGCTTCACCCTTTCAGTCCAGCTACAGAGGCCTGACTGGTCTGATCGAGTTCAACAACGAAGGCCATCGAAGCACCTTCGATCTGCAGGTTTACGAGATAAAGGAGGGCGGCATCATCAACATCGCCGCCTACAACTCATCGAAGGCCGAACTTAAGGTCACCAGGGTGGAGGACTACAGCTATCCGAACGTGACTGGGGACATGCGCAACCAGACTTTTACGGTTATCATTTCTTTGGTAGGTGGGCGGCGCTTAGAGAAATTAAAAAACATTCTCATGCCCCAGCTGTTTTAGACCGAGCCCTACGGGATGTTGAAGGAGACCCCAGAGAACCTAGAGGGCAACCAAATGTACGAAGGCTTTGCCATTGATCTGATTCACGAGCTTTCCTTGCTGGAGGGTTTCAACTATACCTTCATTGTCCAGCTGGACGGCAGCAATGGGAACAAAGTGGACAACCATTGGACGGGGATGATTGGGGCTGTTATCGATGGGGTGAGTTTCAGAGATAGATTTTGAGGGTTTGAGGGAGTTCCGATCCATTTGAAAACCGTTCGAAAGAGACAGAAAATGTTGATTAGTGGGGAACTAAAAAGGCCACGGTGTCTTTTAATAAGCTCGTTACATTCCATATGCTGATTTCATATCTACGATATTGAATGGGGTCTTCCTTTATGCGGCGAGAACCACGTCTTATTGATAACTTTTGCAAAAAAATGCCACATTTAATCCAGAAATCAGCTTCACCTGCTGATCAACTGGTGGGCAGGTGTGACTTCAAGTTGACACTTAATTCCTGCCAGCAACGCAATGAAAATCCCTTACACTATCAGCCAGAACGCGATCGAGGCCTACGGGCCCTCCAGCGAAACTACTGAGCTGATAAGCGAAGCAGCGCGAAGAATCCTGGCCGAAGACTTCAAGTGGGACAAACAGCGTTGCCCCAGCTTGCAGGAGCTCTGCCTGCGGGCCCTTGCAAAACATTTCAAGAAGACGCCCCTGCTTAAGCAGCTGCCTTGCCAGAACCGCATTTTCCTTCTGGACATCCTTTCGCTCCAGCTGCCTTTGGAGCTGACAATCCCTGTTATCCATGAGGAGCGTTATTGGGAGCGCCGCTACACGAAGGTATTCAAGTACACGTTGCGCCGCAAGCCGGAGGGCTGGACCTGGAAAGGGCTGTACTTGGAGCGCCACTGCCAGCAGCTGATGGAGCAGGCGCAGCCCCAGTACAACGACGAAGAAGCCATGGACGAAATCCTCAGTATAGCCCCCGAGACCCCCATTTGGCAACATCTCACCCTTAAACTTCCAGCGCTGTGCAGCCCCTACGTCTCCCGACTGTTTATCGAGCAACTGCAGTCCTGGAAACCGCCGCTGACAATGAAAAAAGAAGACATTCCAGAAGTCTGGCCTATCGACCACATCAACCTGCTGCCAGTCTTCAAGAAGCTCAACAAAATCCAGGAACTGGACATAATCTTCGGAGTAAAAAACGCGGGGGAAGACTTTAGGTTTGAGATGTTCAAACTGTCCCTACAAGACGGCCAACGGCTGGGAAAGGCTGTGCAGGAGCTGCCCAAGATCCAGAGCCTGCGAATCCACCGCAGCAGCCTGGAGTTCGAGCACTGCCAAGCCTTAGTCCAGGGCCTGGTCAACAGCAAGTGGTCCAGCTTGGTGGAGCTAGATCTCTCTCACTGCCTCATCGGCAACCCTGGCGCCTTATGCGTGGCCTTTCTGCTTCAGAAGTTTCCAGGCCTGAAAATCCTCAACCTGACCAACAACGGCATCGGCAAAATCGGGACCGAAGGCCTGGGGTTTGCCCTTTTGCAAAACCCCGGCCTGCAGGATCTCAACCTCCGACTGAATCCTCTGGGGATTGACGGCACAATGGGCATCCTCAGTGCCTTGGTGCGCATCTCTTGGCCTCAGCGCCTCTCAATGGCTGCGTGCATGTTCGATGAAGACACCGCGCTCAAAGTGGCTCAGATGATCAAGCTCAACGATGCGCTGGAGCGGCTGGATGTGAGCGCTAATTATTTTGGCGAGGCTGTTGGGGAGGCTCTGGTGGACGCTGTGGAGTCGAACAGCACCATTCAGTGGCTGGATGTGCGGGAAACCGATATTTCCCCCCAGCAGAAGGAGCAAGTTGAGGAGTGCTTGTTGCGGAATAGAGAGGAAGCGTTGAAGCGCAAGCAGGCAGAAATGGAGGGAAACAACCAGGAGCAGGAAGCGGAGACTTTTACTTTTGAATATGAGCAATAATGAGTGGTTTGCCTTGAAGGAGGCCTAGCAGTTTTGACATGTATTTCTGCCCGGTTAGGGAAAATGTTAATCAAAATTTTTAACTCACAATAAACCTTGTATAAATGAAATATTTTCCTAGCAGTTGGATGAGAATGTCCAGGGTTATTGATTGAACTTTGGCCACCCCGGTTTTGCATCTAATTTGAAATTTAGAGAAAAATGTTAAATACCAAAGTTGTAAATATTAATTTCTAGTTTGTTTTAAGATAATACCAGATACTACAGGGCGTCTAAAATTCAAGTGGCAGACCAAATTTACCTTTTTTAAATGGAATGCAATGCTTAATATTGTTCTCTAAACTTCAAATTAGATGCAAAAACGGGGCGGCCAAAGTTCTGTTCAAATGGCGAACTGGGGCAAGTTTTTCTGTGGCGAAAAATTGCAAGAAAAACTTTAGCCTTGTGAAAAACCCAATTTTTATGGTACTAAAAAAGCGTTTCGACTGCAGAAGGCGGACATGGCAATAACGGACTTGACGATCACCGCTGAACGTTCAGAAGCTGTGGATTTTACTTCGCCATTCATGAATCTCGGTAAAAGACAAAATGCCGCAGGAGCAAAATCCGGGCGCATTCACCGCCTGTTTGCACCCTTGCAGGAATCAGTATCCTGTTTCAAAAGCCCACCAAAGCGCCTCCCAGCTTCTTCTCCTTTGCTGAGCCGTTCGCTATCGACACCTGGATCGCATTGGCTATCGCCTTTGTGGTGGTCTCTCTCTCCTTCTTCCTGCTGGGCCGGATTTGCCCGGATGAATGGAACAACCCCTTCCCCTGTGTGGAAGAGCCGGAGTTTCTCATCAACCAATTCAACATGTCCAACTCAGTGTGGTTTGCCACGGGGGCCATGTTGCAACAGGGATCAGAAATCGCGCCCATGTAAGTATTTGGAGATTCAGAAGGGTTTCGTCTGATCTGGCGGCGGGGTTCAGAGCAATCCCCACTAGGCTGGTGTCGGGGGTTTGGTGGTTTTTTGTCCTCATCATGGTGTCCTCGTATACGGCCAATTTGGCCTCGTTTCTGGTCACGGAGAACAACATTGAGCTGTTCAACGATGTGAGGAGCCTGGTGGAAAATGCTGATAAGTACGGGATTCGTTACGGGTCCAAAAACTTAGGAGCCACTATGGGGTTTTTCAAGGTAGGTGCTTTCTAGGTAAAAGCATCGCTCTATCCTCCTTACGTTCCCTTTCTCCTAGAAAAGCACCAATGAGCTGTATAAGAAAATAGCCAAATACATGGACGAACACCCGGAAGACCAGCCAGCAGAGAACAAGGATGGCGTAGCCATGGCTGAGACAATGAAGTACGCATTTTTCATGGAGTCCATCTCCATCGACTACAACACGCAAAGACATTGCAATTTGACACGAGTGGGGGACCAGCTGGATGAAAAAGGCTACGGAATCGCCTTAAAGAAAGGTAGCAACTCCCAAAAGTCCCTACAGCCTCCAGCCAGTTAAATCTTGTGGTTTCAGACTCTCCCTACAGGACCAAGCTGAGTACGGCCATTCTGAAGCTTCAGTCATCGGGAGTGATCGAAAAAATCCGCAAAAAATGGTGGGAGGAGCGCAAAGGCGGAGGCCAGTGCACGGTAAGTCGTCAGCCACACCCAGCCCAGCTCAGAAACGTTTCTTATGCACCCGCTCATCTTCAGGGCACTGACGACGACACAGAAGCCACACCCCTGGACTTGCGCAATGTGGAGGGTATTTTCTACGTGACAATCTTCGGGACAATTCTGGGCGTGGCGCTTGTTCTGTTCGAGTACGCGTTCCACATAATGCGAGTGGCCGGCAAGGCCAAAATCCCTCTCAAAGAAGCCTTCAAGCAGGAGCTGAAATTCTTCTTCAAGTTCGGCAGCAATGTGAAACCCGTGCTGGAAGGCCCTGAAGAGAGTGACGCAAAAACGTCGCCCGACCAATCAAGAAGCGAACGCTCCAAGTCGAAAACCGCCACCACCAATGGGGAGGCCGCTAGGCCTTATGGGTTTGTTGTGTCTTCGCCCTCATTGGATCGGCTCACTGAATCCCCTTAGATCCACTAAACTCTGTTCTTCTGTTGAAGAAATTCATTATTCGGCACACTTTTCGAAAAAACTAAACAATTATGCTTAATTGCTGGAAGACTCTTCAGGCGAAGATGAGTGGAGAATATTTATGAAAGGTTTTAATTGTTGCTGTTGAGTGTACCAGGACCGATCACTAACTTTGTCTTACTTTCTCAATTTCTCAGTTATTTATCCACTAGCTAGTTGACTTGATATCGATGACCTATCGCTTTACTGTTTTACGCTGTTGCAGTTATAAATAAAGTCTTAAGTTGACTCAGCCTGGCTAATTTCCTTTTAGAAGTGCATATTGATACATCCTCGTAGCAGCTTAATTGTAAATGCGAAAGAAAGCCTTTCATGGTGTTTTAGCCAACCGATGAAGCCACCTAACGCTAGTCGCACTTGGCGAGCTTTGTGGTCAAGCAGCGTACAGTGTGTGAAAAAAACCATGATATAAAACAGTGAAAACGGTGAAATGCTGCCTGCTTGGTGCCTTTTCTTCGGTAAGTTTCCCCATCCCCAACCTTCCGCTATTCCACCCTTCTACTTGGTCAGGTTCTCAAGAGATTTGCCCCAAAGCCAACGAGACGCAGCAACAAATGCCCCTGTTTCTTGCATATCTCCTGCTAGTCGTGGCCTCTTTACTCTGGATTCGCAGACATCAGCTTGGCAGGATTTTTTTCAGCCCAAGCAAATCAGTGCTTGATTGGACGAAGAGCCGACTCCCCGGCCAATGGTCTTCCCATCAGGCGACTCTTTCAGGTTTATCAGTAAGTTTGATTGGCCAAAATAAACTAAGAGGAGTGTTTCAGGTGGTTTGCAGGAACTGTGGCAGGACGGCTCCCTCCTCTGCGCTCTCATCAACTCGGCCATCCCAGAGGCCTGTTCTGATCCCCATAGACATTTTAACAAGCGCCCCGTACATGCTCAGCAACTCGCTTGGAAGTACTTTGGAATCAACCCGGTAAAGCAACCAGACCCCAAAAGCATTTAGCATGCCGGGTGTCCCAATCTTATGCTCTTGATTGAGTATTAGGGACATTAGAACGTATATTTGCAGGTCACAGTTTAAAAAATCGTTGCAAACCAATCAAAGAACCAATTTTGATGCAATTCAGCCATGTTATAGACTATAATCGGCGCTTTCCAATCGGGTCTCCAGAATCTCTCGGAGTGATCTAGTGTTGAAGCTAGAAATTATTGAACATTATATGCGTACGCGTTACTATGACAATTGGCCAGTAGAAGGCAAATTTGCAGCTGGTTCGAAAATTCGTCCGACTTCAATCAACAGAGGAATTTCTTTACAATTCGTACAAGTTATACAAAAACTTATGCTCTTTCGAACGAACTAACAGGAGTCACGGTGGCTGACGAAGTTTTCCACACAATGACCATTTTCTGGGCCCGTGTTTCTACCAGTCGCCATTAAAAAGCGGATTTGCAGCCAGAAGTTTGAAATTTTGTCCCATCGCAGCCAATGCAAGAATTCTTGGCTAATTTACACCAGTTACGGCCAAAAGCATGGTCCTTCCAGCGCAATAATACGCTTCTGACCGCTTTTTGTAGTTTTCCAGAAAATGGCTGTTTTCCATGCGCGTGTTTCTACCAGTCGCCATTGAATCTCTGAAAAGCAGCCAGGAGTTGGAAAATTCGTGTCAACTCAATGAAAGCCCCGATTTTAAACAATTTTACCCATTTTTAAGCACAATGTGTCTTATTTCCAGTGGCGGAACAAGTATTCTTGTTTCGTCTTCAGTTTAAACGATAGCAATTGCTGAAATCGGACTGTTAAACAACGAGCATCGAAAACCGCATTTTAAAGTTTGGAAAATCGCCACAGTTGCACGAAATTTGCCATTTAACTGAAATTTGCGAATCGTAGAGCAAAACGTATGGTCTTTCCAACATTGTGGCTGTGGCACAGTTTTGGAGAAAACAGCTTCTGAATGCGAGCCTTAAACGCCGGCCTTTAGACAAAAAGCGTACAGCCATTTAGAAAATAATTGTCCGACTCAAAGAAAATCGACAATTCGAATATTTTTTCCTCCCGACGATAGCAAAAAGTTTACTTATTCTACTGGGAGAAATGGCGTCACTTGACCCACGACTCGTTTTGGGGTTTCAGCCGCTGAAAGCCAGCAACTTTTAAGGCTTGAACCAAGCAAACCCCACACATCAACATTTTTGCAAAAGTTTATGAACGCCCAGTATACAACAGCCTGTAATGAAAATTCCCCAACTTGCCCTGAAATTCCCTCTGCCTCCAACTAGGTCTTCACAGAAGAAAACTTCAGCCTCCCCTGGTCGACTCAGCTGGAAACTCAGCTACTCAACCACTTGCTGCTGCTTCAGAAGCGGATCGTTGCTTCGGAACACTCACAACCTCCCAGTCAGGTCACATCCACTTTCCACGTTAGAGGCATGGGCCTCTACACTGCCGAGCAATTCAAGGAAGCAGATTTTTTCATCTACTCCCACCAGGGCAACTTTCTGCAGCTGGAGGTGGCGATTCTGGGTCCTTTTGACTCGCAATGCCGCACCTCCTTCCAGGACCTCCTGGAGAATCTTCACCTCAAATCTTCCTCGAACAACATCAAGATGCAAATGCTGGTGGAAGAAACCCGGCTCAAGATCTCCTACGTTCCTCAGTATTGTGGAATCCATGAAATCAGGCTGAGCTGCAACCAGGAGAGTTTGGAGGGAAGCCCCTATCACGTCAATGTCCTCAATTATTCCCTGTTCAAGTGCAAGGGTTCAGCGATGGCAATCAGCAAATACCTGAAAGAACTGACGAATACTCGGGAAAAGCTCCAGACTCAGAGGGGAAACTGCTCGAATATCCAGAAGTTGGTTGATAGCTCTTTTAGAGTGGCCTGCAAGGTGACCAGGGCCTCCCCTGCGCTTAGAGCAGGCTGTTTAGCTCAGTTCTCCAGCTCTTATCCAGTATGTGAACGGCATACTGCTGCAGAAGATTGCCGGAAACTCTCGATGGACGAACGAAGAAAGGTAGTTAGTTTGCTGAAGTTTACGCTTCTTCACTGACCATTTTCCAGATATTTTCCAGCCAAACCCAGGTGGGGCCTGAGCAGGTTGGGGCATTTAGACGCCTTCTCAACCACTTGAGCAAGGAAGCTCCAACAGAAGATTTTCTGGGTAACAACCAAAAACTGGCTCTTCCACGGACGGTTCTGGAGAAGAAGGTGTTTTGGGAATCTGCCTTTGATCAACCCAAACTGGAGTCTATTGAAGACAGCCAGCAATCCTGGAACCGACGGTTGAAGCACGTGGATTCGCTCTACCTGCTCAGAAAGCGCCCGGTATCCAAATCCATGAGCAACCTGAACTGGGATGGAAAAAAGACCGTTGAAAAACCCCGGTGGTTTCAAGACTATCTGGATCTGTGCGGCCGAATTAGTCTGGATGAGCGACTGAAGTCGTTTATGCGAAGCTCACGTCAGGGTGAAGCCTCAGGTGAACGCAGCACTCCTCTCTCTCAAGTGATTTGAACTTCACTTATTCCGCTTTTGCAGGTTTGAAGACAAAGAACTCCGGGACGAATTGACGTATTTTGTTAATTAATTTAGCAAGTTAAGGTCTGTTTTGCGAAAATAAACTATCAGGCATACTCCATCTAATAAAGCGTTTTTCACTTGAAACCAGCCACAACTCACCTTGAGGCTTCGAAAATGGCCGTCGAACGCAAAAGCCTGCAGCTTACCATTAAAATAAACAAACTATTCAGATCGATCAATCTCAAGCCCCATTTTGCAATGGTAATCCGATGTGTACAGGATGGAAGATCGGAATTATTCATCGAACTGGGTTGGTTGCGCGTTTATTTTGCTCTCAGTGTCTGGAACATGTTCTTTAAGTGCTTCGTGATTTTAGTGGGCGGTTTTCAACAAGCCAGTGCTCTGAAAGTGTGTTTGGATTGCTTGCAGGACATTCCGGTAAGTCCCCATTTTGCCCGCTTTTTCTGGGTAATTTTCGGGAAATTTCCAGGCCAATGGATGCGTTATTGAGTCTTCCTACCCGGCAATCGGTTCTTGTTTGCACTCTTTTGGTAAGAGCAACGTGAGGTGTAGGAGAGCCATTGTTCCAAGGTTTTTGCAGATTTGGAGGCCGCACAACCAAACTCTCTGCAGGCTCCAAATCTGGTTTGCCGGGAGGAGAGTTCGATGACGTTCAGCTGGCAGAATTCTAGTGGTCTGTATTATTTCCTCCAGTATCTGCAAGCATCCAACCAGGCGATGCTCACAAACCTGGTGAGATTGGAGTTTTTTTTTATAGTAAATTACTCGAAAATTTGTGACGATAGACCAAAGCATCTGGTGTCGTTGGAAAGCGGCTGGTTTGCTTTATAAGAGGAGAAAATTCCAAACCATTCGCAATTTTTGCTGATTTTTGGCAACTGGTTAATCACACCCCTGCACCTGCATGTCTGGTGATAAGGCTCCTCTGGCAAGCCTTGAAAAGAGCCTTCTGGTTATTTTTCAGACCAACCGCAATACTCAAACAATATACAACCTAATTCCCCATCAGGAGGTGCTAGTAAGCCTCTATGCAGCCGCCCCCAGCAAGGAGTTGTGGCAGAAAAGCCCCCCAGTGGAAGTGCGACCTTTGGAGACCCTCAAGCGCACGCCCGTCCAAAATTTGAACGTTTCACTCAATTACACTGGGCAAGGATACAACGCCCTCATTTCCTGGAAGCCTGGATCAGGTACCAAACATGACCGAAAAAATCTGGGGGCTCCTTTCAGTTGATTCTCTGTTAAAGACATGTCGTGCTACTACGAAATGGTGTGGTATGGAAAGAGGCAACCGGGGGATTTCAGCCAGCGCAGGCTGAGCTTGAAGCAGGTGACCACCCATTGAAAGTGGAGGAGTCTTTAAGCTGTTTGTGGCGATTTTCAGGCGCTGGAGCCGCAGTTTCTGCTGCCCGACTTGGAATTGGGGCGGCAGTACCATTATTCTATTGCTTCAACCGATGGAAGTGGCCGCTTGGAGAGTCCAAAGCGCTACCTAAAGATTTCAGTGCCCAGTTGCTTGCAGACTTTTAGAAATTTGTCTGTTTGTGGTAGGGTTTTCTTATCGAAATTGCATTCACAAACTCATCGGAAATATTATTTTTTGTTGCCCCTGCAACATAAGTTTCACTAATATTTTTCCCGAAAACATTTTCGCTAATGCAACGGTTTTTGGCCTGCTGCAAAGGAGGAGTTTTGCGCTACCAGTCTCAAGAAACTTTAGTTGCATTGCATTTTTTCCTAATTTTTGGCGAACGTTTGAACACGCCGCTACATACACATCATGCTTGGTGCTAAGCGCACTTGGAAGCATTTAATTTAACTGCGTCTTTCTCAGAACGGGTACTGTGTGGAAAGACGGAATTACACCAAGGCAAGCTGCTACTTTTCGCAATAACTGCGCAAAGTTTCAGAGCTGTAGAGTTATTGGCTGATTTTTGAAGAATTTTTGGTTCAGCCACTGCAGGCGCCTATTAAAGTGAATTGCTTAAAACCCTGCCCATATAAAAAGCGCCTACTTCAGTAGAAACAGCACCCTTTCCCTAGCAGTGCTGGAAATTTCAGAGCTCGGACTTTAATGGTTCTATAGTTTTGACTCTTTCAGCCCCGAGTAAACCGAGCAACTTCACAGCGCTGAACTTGCCAGCCTCCGGGCTCCAGTTGAGCTGGGCCAGACCCTCATTGCTTCCCCTCTTCTACAGCATTGATTTCTCTTCGCGGTCTTCCACAGCATCTGTAAATTCTTCTGGGGTAAGCGGCTCCCGAAAATGCCTTCAAAACTTAACCACTGGGCGGTGCTTCCAGGAAGCCACCAGTTTAACATTGAGAAACGTCTCACTTGGAGACCAGGACCTTATCAAACTGGTGGCCCATTCCAGGGCTGGGGCCAGTCCGCCTGCCTACACCCGGGGCCTTGCCCCAATTAGCAACAATTATTCCAGCATGGAGAAAGAGTCTGGGGGGCTCCTGATGTGGAGCCTAATGGCATGTGGGGTAGCCCTAGTTGGGGTGCTGGTGATCTGGAGGGTTCTAGCGAGACGCATGCCGTTTGAAGAAGTGAGAGATTAGTTGGAGATTGATAAAGAATTGACTGGTTGATGTGTTGCAGGGCACGAGCGAACCAGCGGTAAGATACACCACCACTGAAGCAGAAGACTCCAAGTGGGAGTTGGTGGAGTCGAAGCTGTTGGTTGACCGGGTGATTGGGTGCGGGGCCTTCGGTATCGTCCAGAAGGGCTTCTACTACTTGGAACCCAACAAGAAAACCCCCGTAGCCATCAAGACTTTGAAAGGTTTGTGTATGACTTCGCACTCTGCACTGTTCAACCTGATTGTGATTGCAGTTCGGCCCACTCCTGAGCAGCTGGCTCAGTTCTACGATGAAATAGACATTATGAAATCAGTGCCGTATCACACCAACATTGTGTTCCTGTTTGGGGTGGTGACCAAACACCGTCCAAGCAACCCTCTGATGCTGGTGGAGTATTGCGCCAAGGGTGACCTGCATACTTACCTGAAAAATGTGGCTTTTGTCCTGCAGAGCAAGTGGGTGATTATTGAAATCTCTCTGTGGTTTTGATGATTTATTACCAATATTTTTCAGCTCACCTGCAGAGCAGGAAAAATGCGCGGATCAGTTCTTCAACAAGTGCTATGACCTGGACCTGTCCGGAAAGGAGAATCTTTTTATCCTGGAAGCAAAGGACTTGCTGTCGTTTGCCAGGCAGATTGCCGTGGGCATGGTGAGCGGAAGGTTCCCAAAACCCAGAAACCCTGCAGTTTTCTTGCAGGAGTTCCTGTCCAACCTCAAGATGATCCATCGGGATCTGGCCGCCCGCAACGTGCTGATCAGTGAAAACAACATTCTGAAAATCTCCGACTTTGGGCTGAGTAGGGATATCTACACGGACAACGTCTACCGAAAAGTCACTGGAGGTTGGGATTGTTGCGCTAAATGGGTGGTTGAGAACTTGTTCTTCCTGCAGGAAAACTGCCGTTCAAGTGGATGGCTTTGGAGTCGCTCACACATCAGGTCTACACCACTGAAAGCGATGTGTGGTCTTTTGGAATCGTGTTATGGGAAATCATCACTTTAGGCGAGAATCCTTATCCGGTTGTTAATACTGAGGATCTGGTGGCGCTGCTGAAGGAAGGCTACCGGATGGAGTGCCCCATTAACTGCAGCCAGGAATTGCAAGTAAGCAGGAAATCAACTTCAACCAATGAGGGCGAATGTTTCAGGTACAACACGATGCTGGACTGCTGGGAAAGTTCCCCCAATCTGAGACCTTCATTCAGGCAGCTGAGGGAGACTTTCGACCGGCTGTTGGAGTCGGAGGTTCAGTACATTAACCTGAAAGGGGCTTGGAATCTGGAATGGAAGCGTTATGAGAATGTTGATCCGGATTTGAGGGCCAATCTGGATGGCTCCAATAGTTATATGGAGGCGGATGTTGTGGTGAAGGAAGTTACCTAAAATCTGCTGGAGGTTCGTGTCATTCTAAGGCCACGCAGTAGTAAAACGAGGTTCTTTAGCAAAAAAATGTGTTTTTTTGAACAAGGTCACTTCTGCTGCATTCTTATTAGCCGGCAGTTTTAGACCCGCCTGTAGAAAAAAATTGCATTCGAAAATTCTGGGAGCAGCTTAAGTCACTTCGTTTTTGCAGCTGCAACAGAGCACACTTTCCTCTGTTCCACTGCTAAAAATGAGCTTTCTACCAGTCCCAGTTTTAAATTAGCTACTTATAAAAAACCTCTCACTTGGGGTGTGTGCGACAGATGGGAAATTAAAAAAATTGCCTAAAATTTCGCAAAAGTCCCAAAAAAATCACCACCACCTCAAATAATAGAACACGTTTTTCTCTACCAACTGATCGAAACCTCAACCTTTTAGCTCTTTTGCACTGTAACGAATTCATTTTTGAACTATAGCTTCACCCGGCAAAATTTGACAAACTCCAAGCGGCAACATTCGAATTTCGAAAAATCCTCACTAATCGCTCAATGCAGCGACAATATTGAAACTCACCAAACTCATAGAGCGACGCTTCCCCTATCAAACCGCGGAAATAGTAAGTGTCAAGCCAGCCCGTAATTGGCGAATTGTTTTTACCCAACCAGGGCCAGGAAACAACTCAGTTAACTCTTACTCAAAAAGGATTTATTTAACAAACAACTCAAAAACTGGTGAACCTGTTATAGGCATTTTGATTGGAGAACTTGGCCAATTTAGTGGGCGTAGCTCCTAAATCCCCAGCACATCCAGTAACATTCTCTGCACCATCGCAAGTATTAGTCAGGTCATTAAACGCTCTTCCTTCGCCGCAGTTGTACAACCTGGGTCTACCCTCAATGCAGATGTAGTACCTCTGACAGTCGCTTGGAGATCGGAAGAAGCGGTACTCTTCAGGTCCCAGGCCGAACTGACGAGCCAATGGGGGGCAGGTGAAACCCAAGTAGGCTAAAAATCCACAGGGTTAGACCGGCAATTTTGATAGTTGAGTTCAGGTACCTTCAGCGTCGCAATCGGGTACTTGGTCAGGCCAATCGCATCTGTAGGTATCACCGTTCCAGGCCAGGCCTTCTGGACAGTCGAAGATGAATCCTCGTCCATCCACGCAGTTCTTGAACTGGCCGCAGTTCTGCTGGTCGCCCATTCTGAAGTAGCCGAACTGATGGGGACATTCGTCTGTGGCTTGAGCCGGCTCTGGAACAACCAACAATCTTGCCCTGGGGGTTTTAAAAATCTTCAGTACTTACGGGTTTGTTCGCGTCCAGTACAGTCAACATCAATCGGGTACTGGCAAGGGAAAGCTCGGGATCCGGCCTCAGCATTGAAGAGAAGCCCATCAGGGCAAACCTTCTCTTCTGCAACCCCGTTCAGGCACTGGATGTAGCTGAGAAAGCCCGAAAAAATCTCCAGTAGCTGCGACTTATCACAGTCTTACCTTACTTACCCATCGCATGAGCTGGTGGGAAAGGTTCCATTGGGTTCAAAACAACTTCCAGACCCCTGGTACTGGTTGAGAGGTTGTCTCTGCTGCCTCTGGTTGTAGACGCCATTATATTGACAAAACGCTGCCGAATAAAATTTTCGTTTTCAGGCTAACTGTTTGAATGTTTTGTTAAGTCACGTCCATGTCATGCTAATATTTGGGAATTTAGTCTAATTTCCCCAATTTAACTCAAATTGCCTATTAATTCTCGGCTCGTTATACGCCTTAGAGCATTACATGCAATTACTTAAAAGCTTTGCCGAATTCCATTTGCCTTGAAATGGTGTGTTAATGTTGGGGAATAAGCTGAGGTTTGGCGGGTTTTGGAAGCTCCACGGAGGATCAATTTGGTATTGAATCATAGTCTTAAGTACGTTTAAAATTCGAGGACAAATTGCGAGTGGAAGATTGAATTTTAAAAAATTGCCAAAATTCTGGAAAAATTGCGAGTAAGCCGACACTAGTGGGGCCATTACAGTCATGTTTTCTTTATTTAAAATTCGAAAAACCGGTTTTTAACTGAAAGCCATTTCAACAGAGAATTGTTTCAAAAGCGCTCCTCGACTTGATGGCTTGGAATCTTCCTTTACGGCTGTCTAGTGAGAAAAATTGCTCGCAGTTCAAAAAAGTCGCGGTAAATCGCAACTTACACAATAGATAGAACGAAGATTTTTCTCTATAAAGCACTTTTGAAGGACAAATTTTCGAAAAAAACCTTTTTCAGTTGGATGTCAGAGAAATTTAAATTTTCGCCTTACAATATAAAGGTAATTTTTCTAAATCCGTAAAATTTGTTGGCAAACTTGTACCCCCAGGACAAATAGAGCAAGATCGTCTCTATCTAGAAGCGTAAAGAGCGCTCTTCTAGACACTATTGATTTTGATAAACAATTTTTTGAAAAAAATCTACTCAATTTCATGAGATAAATTGCAATTTTTGACTTCCAATATAAGAATTTTTCCTAAATCAGTAACATATTCTATTAACTCGATGGCCAAAAAAGTAATAAAGCAATAGTTTCTCTATTTAGGAGCACAAGAAGTGGCATTCTAGCTACTATAGATTTGGATGGACGATTTTTTGAAGAAAACTCCACTTAATTCTAGGTCAGGGAAATTTTAATTTTCGCCTGCCAATATAACAAAATTTTCCAAATCAGCAAAAATTATTTTCAGTCGCTGGAGAGAAACATTAAATAGAGCAATAGCTTCTCTATTTAAAAGCGCAAGAAGTACTTTTATAGCTACTACAGATTTTGATGACCGATTTTTTGCAAACAACCTTTTTTAGTTTTATTGCATCGAAATGTCATTTTCCACTCTTTGATATAAAAAAAAATGCCATAAATTCCATAAAACTTTTAGCAAATCGGCATTAACAGGTTTAAGCAACAGTTTTTCTATATAAAGGAGCAAAAGGCGCCTTTGTAGTTACAAGAGATTTTGATGGACGATTTTTTTTAAAAACGCCCATTCACTCTGAAGGATGAAAAAATACTTTGCCCGTCTTCCACTAAAAAGTTTTTTGTAAGCCAGAGAAAACTGCTAGCAAATCGGCAACCACAGGCCGAACAGAACAATAGTTTATTTATTTAAAACCGTTAAGAGCGCCCTTCTAGCTACTTTAAATTTCGACGGACCATATTTGGAAGAAACTTTTCTCAACCTGATGATAAAGAAATTGTAATTTCCGCCTTCCGAAACAAAAATTTGCCAACAATCCCAGAAATTTTCCATGAAATCCCTGTGTTTAACTGTAAGCCATTTCAATAGAGATTTCTTTTAATAAACGCTCCTCAATTTTATGGCTTCTACAATTCCTTTATGGATGTCTAGTGAAAAAAATTACCCGCAGTTCAAAGAAGTCGTAAGTAAATCGCAACTTTTGCAATAGATAGAACGAAGATTTTTATATTCTGAAATGCAAAGAGCAGGATTGTAACTATTAGCGCTTTTGGGGGAAACATTTTTGGAAAAAGCCTCTCTCGATCTGACGGCAGATAAATTTCAACTGTCACCCTCCACATGGCCCTAAATCCTGGAAAATTGCCAGTAAATCGGAACCCACCAGACCTATAGATCAACAGTTCTTCTATGCAAAAACGAAAAAAACTGCTAAATATTTTGATTTTTACAGAATGGTTTTTTGAAGAAGCCTTAGTCAATTTGATAGCAGAGGAACTTATTTTTTGCCTTCTAATATAAAAGACTACAGGACAAATAGAGCAAAAGTGTTTCTATCAACAAGCGCAAAGAGCGCTAGAAGATAGCTACTATTGATTTTGATTGACGATTTTTTGAAAAAACTGCTCAATTTGATATGAGATAAATTGAAATTTTTTACTTACCAATATAAGAATTTTTCCTAAATCAGCAACATGGTCTATTAAATCGATAAACCAAAGAGAAATAGAGCACAAGTTTCTCTATTTAAGAGCGCAAAAAGCGGCTTTCTAGCCACTACACATTTTGATGACCGATTTTTTTCGAGAGATCTTTTTCAGTTTCATGGCAAGAAAATGGCATTTTCCACTTTTTAATATAAAAAATTGCCATAAATTCGAGAAAACTGTTAGCAAATCGGTACTCGCAAGGAACATTAAGCAATAGTTTGTCTATATAAAAGAGCAAAAGGCGCCTTTGTAGCTGCAAGAGATTTTAATGGACGATTTTTTTAAAAAAACGCCCATTCAATCTGAAGGAAAAATAATTAATTTTGTCTGTCTTCCACTATAAAAGTTTTTCCAACATCTGAAAAAACTGCGAGCAGATCGGTTCCCACAGGACGAACAGAACAATACTTTCTTTATTTAAAACCGTAAAGAGCGCTCTTCTAGCTACTTGTTATTTCGACGGACGAGTTCTTGAAAAAAAAACCCTACTCAACCTGATGATAAAGAAATTGCAATTCAATTTTCCTTGAAATCGCTGTCCACGGGACAATTTTTTTTCATCTCAAATCACAAAGAGCGTCCTGCTAGCTTTTATAGATTTTGAAAGACAATTTTTTGAAAAAGCTAAGTTCATTAGGTCCTTAGCGACTTGCCATAAAGCTGGGAAAATCGGCAATAAATCGACATCAGCAGGATACATAAACTCAAGTTTGCACCACCGAAAGAAGCAAAAAGTCTTCTGCTGCTTCTTGTCAGTCGCCCAATGAAACCACTTAAAATAAAATCCTTTGCGCGACTTTTCATTGCCAATACATGTTAATGTGAAAGTTTTGGCGAGCATCAGTTGCCCAATCTAGCGATTAAATAATGCATGGGTTTCTTCTTCTCCCTCGATTGCCCAACATTGATTGGCAACGAAAATGATCAGATTTTCCTGCGGTTTTCTATTTTTAACTGAAATAGCCGGCTTTGTATTAGCGTCGAGGCTAAGGCGATTTAATGCATGAATAATGCATTGCTAGATGGAATTATGTAGTTTGTTTATTGTCAAGCGGATCACGCACTCTGGCCACAATATCACTGATTTATGCCGTCTTAGTGATTAATTAATTGGTAATTATTTGCGCGTTGTAAACGTGACAAGACAGAGGTTGGTTGGAAAACTTACCCCCAATAAACACTACACTGGCAATAAAGATGAATCGCCCAAGAAAACCCATTGTCGCCCACTGGTTGCGAGTTCGGCACCAAAATGAAGACGCATCTTCGGTCAACCATCACCACTTTGAGCCATTAAGTGCCTTCAAGGATGTTACAGCGCGCTCGACCTATTGCATAACAAAGTCGCATTTAATGCTAAATTAGTTGATTGAATCTTCCAATTAGCACATTGATGTCTTCACTAAATCTTCAGTCGAAATGATAGTCTGGCATAAAGTGCTTGTTCGCCTCTATCCCGATTCACTTAAATTTAGCATACATTTGGGAGCCAGAACGCGTCGATCCAAACCAACAAAAGAATATGGAAAATAAGGGCTGGGGTTTGACAAATCCGGTTTCTCGGAAGCAACGAATGAATTAGCCGAAACGTGGTTCCTGATAAGTTGCCGGTTCGCACTTTATCCGATTGCCATAAATTATGGGGAGCCATTCAGATTGGCTTCGAATCGACCATTGGCTGTTCGATAGTGAATTTAGGAGAATCGGAGACTGATAAATGGGGAACTGGTCGCACCTTGAGGTCAAATGTTTCGTGTGTGTGAACTAGAAACTTTGGCAGATTTAAGTAAAGAGTGGGTTCATTTTGAAGCTTTAATGAAAAATCAACCTTCAGTGCGAGATTAACACAAATTCACCCGTGTCTAAATGGAGGTCTTGTTTATACAAAAGACAACTTTCAAGTTTGCAACAGCCCCGGTTTGGTAGTTATGATTTAAAAAAAATCCATTCGTATTTCACGCCATTGAAAGCCTCGGCATATTAAAGCAATTTAAAAAAAAATAAAAATTAAATGCGCCATTAACACGAAATTATGTGACTATGAACGAAAGTCCCGTTCGTAACAATGAGCAACTTTTAAGCCTGCAGCGCTCTGAGTTCGCTGGTTATGATTTTTGGCAAATCCCAACGCATTTCACTCGTCTGAAGCCCAAGGGCAAGCATGAAAGCGTTCAAAAAATCAGCATTAAATGGTTCATCCATAAAAAATTGTGAATACCTGAAGCTCTTGCACTTTTACGACGCAAATTTCAAACCTCCATCTGTCCCAGTTTGCTAATCATGATTTTTAAAAGAAAGCCCCTAAAAACCAGGACGCGTTGGAAAAAATGCGATCGGTCCAATGATTAGAAGAACACCTGCATTATTTTTTGATCGAATTTCACTCTCCCCTAATTTTTTGTCCCACGCAAACAAACACCATTCACCCATTTCGCTCTGCTTTATTGACTTTGCTCACCCTGTTGAAAGCGCTGTCCCGATCCTGGACACATTCCATGCGCATTCGGACAGAGCCACGTGTTTTCTGGCGTAAAACTCGCCCTCAATGTGCGGCAAATTTGCCAGTGCTCAACTGTCCCGAAGGTGAGTCGCTGCCTGTCCCGACTGTCCCCTAAATTTCGGCTTTTCGACTACACGATCGCGTACTTGGACCTTTGAAATCTGTTTTGGAACAATGTGAGTGCTAGTGGTTGGATCTGGATTAGACCCATTAGCCTGGATCTGCTATTGGATTGAGGTAAGTCCAGGTTTTAGGTGGTAAGCTTTGTAAGTATTAGTGAAGGAGTTATGGGACTTTATCCAATTAAACAGGTGATTATTCTCGAATTAAGACTCCATCGAACACTTGAGGGTGTTGTTGCTAATTCACCTGGATAAACTAATTAGAATCCAGAACTCGCATCCAACAGTATGTCGCCTGTACAATTCCATTCAAAGAGAAATGATTGGGGCAAAGTTTGCTCGTTAAGTAATCCAGAGTTTGGCAAAGTTTCCTTTAAGCTGACAGCTATCTGTTGGTGTAGTTGAAGGGTTGGCGTCGATTCTGGCACCTTAATGAGGCCGTGATGAGCGTCCAGAAATCGCATTTTCAGTTGAGGAGTTAAAGTAAAAAACCGTTAATTTAAAGGCTCCTTAGACTCTTTCTGGATCTTGGAAAGGTGCAAAATGTCGCCGGAAGAAGCTGTGGGATTTGGATCCCACATCAAAAATATCCTCCTGGTCTATTGTCTATTCCATTCGCTTATTGCGTCCGGTTGAATAAATCCGGGTGTAATATTAGAGCGGGAACAGCTGATCTGGCAACTATTTGCGGAGGACGAAAGCAAAGTGGCGCTCCGAAAAATCGGAGCTTTTAAGCTCCAGGCCGGATAGAGCCATTAAATAAATTGCTGGATTTCCGGAAAACTGTCCATGGAAGGTACAGCCGAATTGTCCATTAACAATGGCCCATTGCCTCTGGATATTAGTCGAGCATGTTACGATCTGGAATATCCGAATCGCCTCAACAGTCGGGAAATGTCAACGGTGAACTTATTAGAAAATTCCTCGGGAGAAAGGAAAAATATGCCTCGCATCTTATGAAGTTCCGATTATAGGGAAACCTGTCAGCGGTTATTAATCGGTTTAGCTGAAGTTCTTTGATGTTGGAGCGGCGTTATTTGAGCCCCCTTTTCTGCATAGCTTTCTCCAAGGAATCTGGATATCTAAAGAGTGTTTCATGAACCTCAATTACTTTTTTTCGGTTTTGCCGTGATTACTTTCGCAGCAGTTTTGCCCCTGGGGGATTTTTCTGATTAATTTTTTAGGTTTGGAATCAAGGCCTTCCATTGATTTTATCAGTTTTAAAAGCCTCTTGTAACGTAGGTTTTTTTTAATTTGGAACGTGGATGGATTAAGTGGGACTTTATGGGGCTGTTTAGTCTTTGCTTTAGTAGCTCTGAAGAGGCAGAACTTTATCCTATAAATGTTTTTCACCAGTTTAACAACATATTTGCACGTTTTGTGCGCTTAAAGCCAAAAATTGCCTCAAAAATGTCTTTAACATGACTTGGAGAACGTTGTTCTACTCGACAAATGCAAAATACTCTTGAATTCCTTGAGTGGATTTATTTTGACAAATTTATAAACAACTTGACCAGATTAATGGAGTGAAATATCAAAATTGGTTAAATTTTCCAGCAAACTTACAAACGAATCTCCGACATACTGCCAAAGAATCTGCCCCAAAACTCCATTTGAGTAGTCAATGAAGTATGGCGCTGCCCAATTCACCCTGTCAGTTCAGTGGTCTTAAGTTAGTGAAACTGGACGTATTTCGCTGCAAATTAAATCAAGAAAAAAAAATCGTAGTTTTTCTTCCATTTAAAAACCAAAACTTCACAAATTTCGATAGATCGACGGTTCATAAACTATTTTGTGCAAATTTTTCAATCGGCGTGGTGATTTTAAGGTGAAAAAGCGACTTTGAGTTTTTCGTATAATTTTGACGTTTACTGTCAGTGCGGGCTCAACTCTAAAATTGGTGATAATTTGCTATGTTTTCCGGGAATTATTTTTTTTTAATTTTTTTTAATTTTCAATTGCCAATCAAGACTTAAAATATTCCTTACAAGACCGAGAAAAAATTAATGGGGTAGCGAAATGCGAAATTTTGGCAATTTCCTTAATTTGCTGTTAAATTTTCACAACTTCAACTCAACTTGACAAGTCTTAAATAATTTAATGTCAGGAGAAATGCCCCGGCATGTTTACGAACTACTGTCCGACAAACTGCCAAAAAATCTGTGTCAAAACTTTATTTATTTTCTTCGATTTGAAAACCGAAACTGCACTAATTTCGATAGATCGACGTTTCATGAACTATTTTGTGCAAAGTTCTCAAGCGAGGTGGTGATTTAAAGGCGGAAAAGCGATTTTTAATGTTTTGTGTAATTTTGACGTTTACTCTCAGTGCGGGCTGGTGTCGTGTACGAACAAGGCCTGTTTGAAATGCGACTTGATCCGCATTCAAAAGGCTTGCTGTACTTTCAGACGCCACAAAAATGGAAAATCAGAAAACTTTTCAAAGAAATTCTAAAATTGGTGAGTGCTTGATTTAATTTGTCGTATTTTCTGGGAATTAATTTTTCCGCATTTTTTTCATTTCGACTGGCCAATCAACACTTAAAATATTCCTAACAAGGCAGAGAAAAAATTAATGCCATCGCAAAATGCAAAATTTTGGTGATTTCCTTGATTTGCTGCTAAATGTTCATAACTTTAAATCAACTTGACACATTTAAAAAAATTATTGTCATGAGAAATGCCTCAACATGTTTACGAACATAATCTATGACAAAAAATCGGTGTCAAAACTCCATTTCAGTAGCTAATGAAGTATGTCACTGCCCAATTCAACCTGTCAGTTCAGTTGTCTTAAGTTAGTGAAACAACACGTATTTCGCTGTCAATTAAATCAAGAAAATCGTAGTTTTTCTTCGATTTAAAAACCAATAGTTCACAAATTTCGATAGATCGACGGTTCATAAACTATTTTGTGCAATTTTCTCAATTGGCATGGTCATTTTAAGGCAAAAAAGGCGACTTTGAGTTTTTCGTGTAACTTTGATGTTTTCTGTCGGTGCGGGATGTGGCTTATACGAACAAGGCCTGTTGGAAATGCGGCTTGGAAATGGATACTTCTGGAATTATTTTCAGAAAAGCACAAAACTTGGCACGTTTTTTCAATTAAATTATTGTTATTTAACTCTTGACATATATTTGTTTCCGCAAAAAAAGTTCGCCACAGAAAAAGCTGGAAATAGTTATCTCGAATTAGTCGAAATATTCCTAGTAACTGCCAATTTTTTCTATTTTCCCATCCACCAGTCCATCTTACAAAGCCTCCCCATTGAACGGCATAAAGCTTAATTAAACCTTCCTATAAGCCTTCAGTGGGAGTTCAGCTGATTAAGTGTCTGTTCAGTATGACTTATGCTCGAAATTAAAAGGGTTGAATCGATGGGGGTTGCATTTGATATGATTTCCCTGCCATAAACCTTTTGATAGCGCTGACAACGGCCATATTTTAATCAGTAACTGAAAGCGCTTTAATTTACGCTTTTGTATTTTGAATTACTTGTATACGTCGATAATTTGCTTGTTGCGAATTCCCGTGCACAAAAGAGCCACACTATAATGTATTTTATATGTGCAAAAGCCCACACGAAAAAGCTTAATTTTTGTGTGTTTTCTTGCGTGGTTGCTTGGATTTCTGGGGCATGTTTTCACACTTTTCTTCCCGCAAATCACTAGCTTGAGGTAAA